CATCGTCCGGGGGCGGCAGGAGGTGCGGGGTGAGCTCTGCTCGCACAGCAACGCGCACCCCAACCCCGTCCTCTCCCTGCCACCGGACCCAACACCGGGACTGCAGTTGCTGCCACCTGTGAGAATGAAGTGGGCGAAGGCGGGGGCACATGGCTCTGCTCCGGGCTAGCGGGGGATCCGGGCTGGAAACGAGTCTGAGGTCTCCGCTAGACCCGTCTTGTGATTCTGGGACTACAACTGCGTGATGATGCCGTGTTCTCCACAGTGAACCATGTGTGACCACAGCAAAAGAAAATGGCATATTTTTCAAACTTTCCTCTGTTTGTTCTTCAAAGAACTTGAATTTGTCTCTAGTGTAACATGTTTAATTTAATCTCATTATTGTTGTTTTTTTTCCAAGGGGAATGTGATCTGCTCCCAAATATTAATGAGTTACAGACCAATACAGCCATTATCAGATATTATTTAAAAAATAGAAACAACAGACTAGTTGTCTAGATCACCAAGGACTACCCTGTAATTTTAAAAAAGGTTTCTCTCTCCCTGTTGTTCAGAACAATCACTTGGGAGTTTGACTTGAAACACCATCTTCATATAAAGTGACTTCTCCTTCTGTTACGTGCAGGGACCAGGCGAGGGGCAGCGTCAGGTGTCCCAGCTCTGCACCGCTTCATCCCTTTGTACGAGATTCACTGGGAAGGGCAGGACATGCAGAGACTGGTTTGATATTGTAGGATTGAAAAAGGAGCTGTGCAAAACAGGCAGCTGATTGAACACTTTCCTACAGTCCTCATTCCGCAAATTATTTTAAGGTCTTAGGAGTTTTCTTGTGCTCAGGATTAGGTGTGTGCAATAGTCGTGGAAGGCCTATGCTCTTGCATGAAAACAGCAAACGTCATGAGCGTAGAACAGATTTACAGGGATTGCTCATGTGTTCCGGTGTTTCCACAGGTCTGGCTCGATACTGTGGAGGTGCTAATTACCACCAACACGGCTCGCTGCTATTTCGTTGTTATTAGGTAGCTTACTACAGTGCCAGGCTGATCAACGTTATCTGGAGGAAAACAAACCGTAGCAATACATTATCTGCACATTTTAACTCTGGGAAAGTTTCAAAAGATTGGATCGTTAGAACACCAGTGACCTCCCCTCTTTTAAAATAAATAACTAGAGGCACTTAAGGAGTAATTAGTTTCTTTGTATGTAAAAAGATTAAAAGGTGCTGTTGACAAATAAGCAGAACGATGTATCTCTAGATACTGAAGTAAGGTAGGAAGGTGCAAGGACGGTTCACCGGCTGGGAATATAACAATCCAGCTGTGATATGAAGTCTCTGCGACCCCCTGCTTACACCAGCCACGTACATTCCTACGTGGATCTGCACTTGGGTCCCAGGGCGCCAGAGCTGCGCTCTGATCCGCCGTTACCTCCCGGCTCGCAGGAGCCTTTGGCTGGAGGAGCCTCAGGTGAAGGCACAGGAAATGACATGACCCCCCGACATACGTCAGTTCCCCTACGTACAGGTAAGCTGAGACGTGGTGCTGCAGGTGGGGGAGGGTGACGATGGCCGCTGAGTGCCCCAGTGGTCCTGGCGCAGGGCAGTACGACGCGCTGACCTGCAGGGAGGAAGGAAGCAAAGACAACAATATATTGACCTGAGCGTGGGCTAATTTTAGCCACTGGAAGAGCAGCTACAAACATTGGACAGGCTTCACCCACCAAAAGCCCCTGAAAACCAAAACAACCAAAGACCTTTCAGGAGAAATAAGAGTTCGGAGCATTTGACAAAAAAAATATGACCAGGCGTTAAGAGGAAGACTCATGGTCCTTCCACTTCAACACCGAGACACTCTCCAGGGCATGGCTTGGTTGGACTAGTGGTGCTCATCCTGTCCTGTAAATCAGGAGCTTGTCGGGGTGGGTAACCTGGTGTGGGAGGGGGCTGTCAACAGCCACGACTTCCGAGTGTTAAGTTGGAGCCCTAAAGCTGTAGTTGCTGCTGATCTCATGGGTATGAGATCCACTCGAGTGGGGAGACACTGCTCTGCCTCTCTCCTTGCGCTCAGTGTTTTCTCACCCCTTTTCTCTTGGCTCTGAGAAGGTGAGTCCCTGGGGTTCGCCCACTGTGTCTGGTGCCTGCGTCAGGAAGGGAGAGGAGTTTGGGAAAGGAGTGTTCTGAGCCCAGACTTTGCTAACCAGGAGGAGACCGTCCCGTCTGCCAGGTGAGGACTGGTGTAATCACTGCTGTTCCACTTGTTATTTATTTAGAGTATCGGCATTGTCCAAACCCTAAATAATACAGTCCTTGCCCCAGTGATCTTTTAATGACTATTATTAAGGCTATTTACCATGTCTCTGGCGTCCCGAGGTGCTCCACAGACCTGTGCGTACAGGCAGCGCAGCCCGTGCCGGGCGAGGGGGTGTGTGCCGCGCCGCGGGCAGCGCGAGGGCATGGGCAGCGGCGTCTCGCCTTTGGGTCGGGGGCCTTTCCCCACCATTATTTTGCACCTAAGGAGAGGTACCAGCCACCCTAATGCCCACCCTGTCCTCTCGTAAGGGGTCTTCCATGCTCCAGGGAGGAACCTCAGCCCCGTGTCTGCTGTCAGGGTGACTGTGTGCCCTGAACGTGCCGTGCCAGACCTGCAGCACGGTCCCACCACAGGCAGCTGCCCCCTTGGCACAGCACCGATCTCTGCAGGGGATTTGCCTCCGCGAGGGGACTGCGAGGAGACGGGGCTTTTGCTCGAAGGGTGAAGGCCATCCAGTGGGATGAATAGGAGAAATTTCTACAAACGCCAGCTTCTCAAGTAAGAGCCATCCTGCTCGCGTGCCCTGCAGATGGAGAGGATGGCCTCTCTGAGGGCGATAAACTCTGCACCTCCATCTCCAGCATGCTCTGCGGGCTGGAGGGAGCTCCCAGATGCCAAGAACAAGACGTGGAGATGTTTCATTTGGTTGCTGGTGCAAACTGGGTTAGTGTTTCATAGTTGGGTGATTGAATGAGTGGTAAAAAATTGGGACTAAAGCTATTAGATATGGGAAATGTTAATCTTTTTCCAAAAACATCTGAAGAACGTGCAGATAAAACTCCCCTAAATATGTTGACCAACTGTCCAAAGTACTTCGACTAAGAAATGCTACTGAAGTGGCTGGCGGAGGTGTAGGTCCAAGTGCCTTCTCCGCTCTTTTCCCCTGTTGGGGCCACGTCTCCTGGACCACGTCTTGGCACCTTCCCCCTCGGTCAGGAGACTCACAGCATGGGAGGGTGATCGGATCAGGGAATTCCTGCCGTACCAAAAAAGGCAGGTGCTGGGCTAGATCCTACTGGGAGCTGCACGACAGTACGCTTTACAGGAAATATTTTCCTTGCTGGTTGCAAACTTACATAGCAATCAGGGTGCAAGCACTTTCAGTGAAAACTGGGAGTTTTCCAGGGAAGCTAGACCCACAATTCCCACTAAACAACTGGTTAAATCCTCACCCACTTCATTCTCAAAAAGTGTTTAGCCTGGCCCACCAGCCCTCAGCGCTCCTCCCGAGGGCTGAGCTGCTGGAGCTGACTCCCGGGAGGATGGAGAACTGCCGTCGCTGCTCCACATGCCGCGCGGCCGTGCGTCAGCGCAGGCTCAGCACCAGGGTGAGCCCTGGCAAGGGTTTCAGCCCAGAGCCAGGAAGGCTGAGCTGAGCTGGGCTGAGCTGTAGGCTCAGCTCCATCTGCTGCACCATATTTGTGACCACCCACAAAGATCCCAGTACTCAACCTCTGCAGACTCACTAGGGAGCATGAAAGCGCACGGAAGCAATTAAGGCTGTGATTCAACCCACTCTTTTCTTTACTATATTGCTAATAACAGCAGAGCCCAGCTCGACACTTGTACTCCAAGGCTGTTTTCAGGGCTGGCAGTAGGCACACAACCCTTCCTTACATCCAAGCCTCTATTTTATCTGGAGTAGTTTAAACCCAAGAAGCACAGATCTTTTCCTTCCAGGTAACGTTGTGTACATAAAACTAATTGCCAAGGAACAACCACGCTTTCGGAGATGCGCTGCTGTTTTCCCAAAAACTCAGCACTCACTGCGGAAGCTGAACTTCCACCAGGAGCTGCTGCGCAGGGCAGACCGACCCGTGGCATCGGCATCAGCGCTCGTCTCTCCCTGATCCTGCAGCTTCGTGCGGATCACGCCGTACCGACGCGTTCACCCGCAGCTGTTCCGGCCGATCCACGCACGGAAATCGGACGAGTGAGCTCAGCGAGATGTGGCCGGCACGGTCCAGCCTGGCGGCGCGTGTCTGGGCTTGCAAAAGGCTCTCAGCTTTGCAGGTCTGTCATTGTGCCCCAAACCCAGAGATGGAAGAAGGAAAAGCTGGGACCTGTGTGCCCCCGTGAACAACCCTCGTCCTCCTGCAAACCTCCGGGACAAAGCTGTTGTTCAGAAGAAGGGAAGTTCCAACCCTCCCAAGGCAGAACGTTGACACATCCACTCTATTGCTTCTGCTGTTGACAATAGTTCACACTGAGACATTTTTGGTAAAATTATATTGGGTTTGTGAGACATGATACATTTCAATTGAATTATAGTTCTGTTGAAAGGCTTCATTTCCTCTCCCATAAACCAGGATCTAACATCCAAGGCTCTTTGCAGGCTGTTGCTAAACACAAAATGCCTGCTGGGTTTTACTGCACAGACACCGACCTGCCAGGGGCTGGCTTATTGCTTTATAAAACGTTAGAGCAACCTCGAATATGAAAGATGTCATATAAATCTAAACAAACCCTTTTTTTTTTTTCCCCCTTTTCAGATGGTCTGTGAAGACTCTGTATCGAGATCTTTAGTCAGCGTGTGAAGAAGGCATGAGACTCTTTTGCCCCCTAAGATGAAGAGCGGGTCAGTCCGAAAGGGCAGTCTACGTTTGTTATCTCAGCCCCAAATTCAGCTTCTCTCAGCGCAGCCCCCGGTTCAGACCGCAGACCGACAAGGGCTGCTGGTAATTGCCCTCCCTGGCAGAAACCCTTCCTCTGGGCACAGACAGATGTGGGCAGAGGGCTGATTTACAGTAGGCAAAGACCCTGATGGCTTTTTGGAGGCGCTGACGCCCTGCTTAGGAGACTTAGAAGAAGCAGGAGGCTTCTTCATTCCATCTGCAGATGTTGTAACGCTGCTGGATCAGCGTTTTGTGAGGAAGGCTGTCCCGTAGGCAGTTTGCCTCTGGAGAAAACTCTGTGGGTAGGGTATGGTACCAGAGCTCCGTGCTTCCGCAATGCCGGCACGTGCCGCGGCGGGCAGAGCAAAGGTGGTGTTCAGAGATACCCAAACGGGTGATCTGCACTCAGATTTTGGGCTTAATCAAAAAACGTATCGTTGAGAATATGCACTGGGGATGCTGAGGACTCCCTGTAAGCGTGAGACTGACCCGAAAAATTGGAATACCAATTAATACAAAGCAGATTTCTACTTTCCTTTTAAGCATGGGGGTAGGTGAAAAGGCCGCTGAAGCGATCAGCGGCGGTACGGCCCCACTCAGCACAGTGCAGGTTCCTCACTGGGCTCACTGGACTTTCATCACTCAGAGTTCAGGGCCCGATTCTGCAGGTCCTGCCGTGCCAGTGCAACTTAATTCCGTGGGAGGAGCTCCGAAAGGCTCATGGGCCCAGTAACACAGGTGAGAGTGGCCAATGGCTGGTTTCAGCTTTGATTTTGCAAATGTTGAGAACTGCCTGGTTTTGATCTACATCGTCGTACGGCAAACCAGGCGTTTGGGTGCAGTGTGAGCTCAGGCACACGCACACGCCTGTGAACGAGCTGAGGCTCAGTTAGCTCCCTTGGGAATTCATGTTCCATACTACTTTCTAAAATGAAAAATATTTTATTTTGCAAGTTAAGCTCTCTGTTTTCTGTTCGACACCTGGGGCTCACTGCAGGAGGACAGAAATCAGGATGGGAATGTGCTTTATCCACGTTTAGTTACTCTGATAACTTAATTTCTCTTTCTGTGAATTCTCTTGGGTCCCTGAACTCCAAAGACAGACCCTTCCGATTCGAAACGCGGGGAAACAATCCCAGGCAGCCTGGTGTGGATGGCACATCTCACAGAGGCTATTAGCATGGGTGCTTTGTTTTTGCACGTTTGTGCTTTAGCTTTGCGAGTTGCTGCCTGCCCATCAAGGGTTTCTATCCCGGATTTGTGTTGTGGACTCGTGCTGCTCCCACAGCATCCGCGCTGCCGCTCGCTCACCTGGAGAGGGGTGCCGTAGGGCAGCTCTGCTGGCTCGCTGCTCTGGGTGGCCACGGTAGGGTTGCTGGAGCTGATGAGCACCGGGGAGCTGATCTCCAGCGCCTGCCGCTCGGCCGGAGCGTGGACCATCCGGTTGAGGGTGTTGAGGGCGGTGGTGATGGAGAACTGCCGCAGGCTCTTCCGCCTGGAGTCGGGCACCTTGGGGAAGGCTGGCGAATCCGCACCCTTGGCTTTGGGAGACGCTGTTCGCAGGGATGCACACTTAAACTGGGGGGACCAGTGGCTTTTGCCAGTCTGCAGGAGTTGCCTTGCAGTGGTGTTGGGCTGGAAGAGACAAAGGGAGACGTGATGGAACCTTTCAGAAGTTACACCTGGCACAGCCCGGTGACTGCTCAGTTTTCCCTTTTTCCTCTTTTCCGATCTGACAGCAGAGCTGTGGGCAGATTTCAGATGACGTTACAGGTGATCTTTAAAATCTTGTGGCTCAGTCATTTCCCTGATATGTTTTCAGTGACAAATCGTGGTTGCAAAATTACTGGTGCAAAGCTGACAGGAAAATTAAAATTGGTTTGAAAAACTTGTTGCTTAGACAACACGTTACCGAATTATTCCCCCAATACTTTACAGAAGGCTTCGTTCCTTGTCAAAGCCTTTGGCTTGCGGAGGTGTAGGGAGAGCTGCCTGGCTCTAGCAGTGGGATAATAAATTTAACTCTAAATTAGAAGGGATGTTTGGGCACATCTTCCTTTTCCACTGCGTGCTGTTATGCTCGGGACGTCGGAGCCCTGCGGCCGACTGCAAGGCAGGAGCTCGCAGAAGCCCTCGCTGATGGTGGCTTTCCCAGCAGAATTAGATCCACCCAGTTACATCTCTGTAGGCCTAAACATTCATGGCTTGATCCTGCTCCCATTGAAGAAAGCCTGGCTCGTTAACCATTGGGCTTAATGAAGGAAGAGTCAGGCCTTGAGTTTGCATATGGGCAAGGTCCAAACTATTTCTTGGAAACTGCTGATCACACAGTATTAGTAGCAAAGGGCATGTGGTGACAATGTTTTTTACCGCGGTGACTGCCAGAGGAATTAATCATGATTTACTGCTGACATTAATGAATTGCAAAACTTGGAGATTCTCACCCACTCGTGTGAGGCAACGTGCCTGACTCCTGGGATGAACAGGGATTACTCTAACGCAGGAGAGGCACTGGTGTCCCTCAAACTTTATCCTTTTAAAGCAGGGATTGTTTTCACGTTTCCCTCCTCCTCACTCCTTGAAGCAAGGGCTGAAAGCCATTGCGTGTGCGCGTGTACGTACAGCAGACGGCAATACGGTCACTTCTATATGGAATTAAACTTTAGTCTAAACCAGAAACGCTTTTCTGCCTTCTTTAAACACCGAGAGGTGATAAAATGGGGCACAAACCTAAGTGTCAAAGCCAAGAAAAGCCTTGCATCTCCCGAAACAGACCTACCTTTGCCTGCGCCATAATTAATTTCTGATTCCTTAGTGGCTTTATGTGGCCCTAACTAACTTACTTCTGTGAACGCCAGACTTAAATAAGTAATTACTGGAGCTGAAATGATTTCACTAAATGAAAAGACATTTTACAAAATATATTAGAGCTTCAAATAAGACGTTTTACTAGTGTCCTTTTATAAAATAGCCACAAAGAAGTGCTTGCTGTAATTATGATGATTACAAGTATTAGTTTTATTTCTAGGAATTCTTGTTGGTGCCATTTACGCCCCGCATCTCAAGCTGAACTGCAGGAACACAATTAATGTCTAGACCAGCGTGAACAAAACGCTGGCGGGGAGCGGGTGGCTGCCGGGGAGCGCCGCCCGCGACGCGCTGAGCTGGCGCTGGCGGGGCCGGGGTGGCTGGGGGCACCACGACTGGCCCCAGGAGAGCGGTGGGGGGCTCACGGGGCAGATCCCCTGGCAAACAGAGCTACACAAGAGCCGATTCCAACCGAACCTTTTAAAAACGCAATTTCGATTTTTTGCCTGAATTTTGCATTTTTGTCCCCAATATTTTTACTTGTTTTTTCCTTGTTCACTCGCTGTTGGCAGGGCTGAGGCAGCCAGGCTGTTCCAGCATGTGCCGCTGACAGCGTGGCGTTGGGTGGGCATGGTGGAGGACAGGCT